AAAAAAAAAAGGGAAATTTGAAATCTCTCATTTTCTTTATAAAAAAATAAGTAGTATGTAAATTTATTAAACAAAGAGTGGTCCATTACGAAAATAGTATGTAGTTTTATTGTGCATAATATGAATCAAAACCATTGATAGATAGACAATATCATATCCAAATCAAAGATAGTAAAATTACTTTTCCTGGACAAGATGCGACATCTCCTTTGGCATACCCGTTCCCGAAACATATTCAAGCCACTCAAAAGTTGGACAAACAATATAAAAGGAAAAAAGAAAGAGTAAATATGTTTCTGTTAGATACACAAAATATTACAAATGATAGGATAAAAATTGGATTTTGAATTTTCCTCGTGATGTAATTTATTAATATAATCTCCCTGTCATTTGAAAAAATAAAAAATAAAGTTGACATGAAAAACAAAACTAAAATTAAACAAGAACAGAGAAAGTACATTTCGTCTGAGCATAAAAAAGAAAAAGAAAAGAGAAAAGTACGTTTCGCGAATTCAGGCCCACTCCATTGCTCTGCTGTGGGCTATAACCAAACAAATCAAGGAGAAAGAGAGTCTAAAACACCACTTTAATAAGAAAACATACTCTACTCAGCGCGCCACTCACACTTATTCAAAAGTTAAGAAAAAATTATGAAATAGATACAAAATTTGTGATACAATTATGCTCCTTAATCAAAGATCAGTATTAACTACGGCTAATCAAAATTGTTAAACCGAAGAATGAAGAGAAAAAGAGGGCAGACGTCATAATGATACAATGAGCAAAACCTCGAGGTAGTTTTGAGGGTATTTCCCCCAGCTCCTAGGATTTTATGATATACCTGCAGACAAAAATGGAAGAATTATTCGTGCCAATTGTGCGCATATGAGAAAGAGGATAGAGGGGGGAGGTACAAAAACACACATGTCATTTTGTTAGTTACGGAAAATATTATCTCTTAAAGAGACTAGATAGTCGAGGTAGACCGCCTTTCTTGTTGTCTGCTACTTGTTTCCGTTTCTGAATCTCCTCACTGCTGACGACACTAGGTAACGGAGGTAGACTGCCTTTCCCCTTGTCTGTTACTTGTCTGTCTTCCACAATCTCCTCACTGATCACTTTCTGTGTTTTCTTCTGAAACATGTTTTTCAGCTTAATGGTATCCTCCTGACTTGAATTATGCTTCTTAACTTTGTTTAATTGCTGTTTGGTAGCCATATCAGGTGGCATACAGTCCTGCAGCTTCTCTATCGTCTTCAAGTGCATCTTCTTCTCTCCCTTATTCTGGAACTTCTCATCCTCAGAAAGCTCCAGAGTTTTCTTAATCCCCTCCTCTTCCGGTAACTGACATTTTCTCTTCTCCAACATATTTCCCAGAACTGCAATTAACTCTCTCTGAGGTGCTTGACACAATTCAACGACCTCTTGCTTAACGATAGCTGTATCTTGCTTGAACAGATTGCATTTCTGTTCTTTCAACTTCAGTTTCTTGGACATCTCTTGTTTTACTTCAGGGGTATCTGGTATAAGGCTACGTTTTCTACCCTTATTGTAATTTTTAACGTTCTCCTGCAGCAGGTGGTAGTC